GCTAACAGCACTCACTAATCGGCATGCCTCTATGATTGCTTCCATGGATGTTACAGATTACATAGGTACTCTTGAAGCTTTGTTTAGGAATATTACACCCGGACTCTGGCCACATTTCATGGTTGAAAACGGTCAAAAGGCTCCAAGGGACCAGAGCAGAGACACTCTGTTGTGTAGTAGCCTGTCAGAACACTCACGCAGGGATTGTGAAGGCCAGCTGAGAAACAACAGTCAGAGTGCTGGGGATGAGGGGTGGCGGGGGAACAGGCGAATTGCCAGAGGAGGCTAAGGCAATGGCTAACACGGACAAATACCTCTGGCGTGTAGAGAATGATTCTCAAAAGAGGCTGCTGGCTGAGGCAATTCAAGAGAGCTCATGGCCACCGAAGGGGTTGCATTATACACACCCCATGGTCTAAGGAGATGGCTTGCAATGCAAATGTGAGGATCAGAGTTCAAATCCCCAGGAAGTGTGGGTGCTGCTGTAACCCCCCCCCCCCCGCCAACCTTAGGGTCAGAAAGTGGATCCAGGGGGCGGGCCCGGCTAGCTCGAATGCCGAGCCAATATGCAAGATCTGGGCTCAACTGAGAAATCTTGTCTCTGTATGTGAAGTGGAGAGGGACTGAGAAAGAACCTGGTGCCAATTTAGAGCCTCCACGTGTGCCACCACCCGTGCAAACAAGCACAGGAGCACACAGCCAACATATAGAAGCAATTCTCAGGTGGTGCATGAGTGGACCAGTATTTGCCCTTTTGCATGTAGCGTATTACACTCAGCATAGGTCTTCGCATTTCACCTATAGGTATATACAGCAGGATTCTCTCCGTTTAAGGCTGAAAAATATTCAGGCTGCATGATGTGCCCATACTTCTTTATCTGTGTCCATCAATATAAAGGACATGATATCCTCTCCCAATTGTTAGGACCAGTGCTGGTTTAGACAGGGCTGTGCAATTAGCTCTGAGATCTCAGCTTCAACTTTCACAACCTTTGAGATGTAACAAGAGCCGGGTCACCCAGTCACTCTGTTTTTGTTTTGTCTTTTTGAGGGATTGCTGTACTGTTTTCCATAACTTGTAACATTTTATGGTCTTCCCAGAAGTTCACATAGGCATTAGGTTTCCCCACCCCTTGCCAAGACAAATCATACTTTCAGACTACAGGCAGTTTGGGAGGCCATGGGCTGGCAGTCAACTCACATAGTTACGTGGATTTTCTTGATCATATTATTTCCTTCCTGACACCCGGGATTTGCACTAAACATGACCTAAGAGTCCAATTCTCTTCTGCAGCCATGCTCTGTGTGTGCCGTTTTTCTGGATCTCTCTGACAGAGTGTAGCAGGTAGCCTAGAAGATAGCAGTGCTTAAGGGGAAGGCTTAGAGAGAGTGAGCATGGGCCCATAGAGAATACAGCAAATACTTTCCCATGGGTTCAGATCTGCTTTCCAGTTCAGGATTGAAGAACTGAAGTCACTCATCTTTATTTGCAGATATATTTTATTGGGCTAATTTTTCCTCTATTTGTCTGCCAATGTGTCCCCTGTAGTTTTATTATGCCCCTGCTTAGTTATTTCTTGGACACTTTTGACTTTTGGAGTCTGCTGCCTGCCCCTCTCTTCTCTCTCATTAACCCCACATATAGATATATGTATAGTTTGAGGTCTATAAGTGCCAGAGCTCATTAAATACCGGACAATGCCCATTTTAAAGCAGGTGATATCCTAAGGCCAAAGGACTCATTGTCTTCTGTTTTCAGTGAGATATTAAGCAAGGTGTGGTGTTACTGGGTGGGATGTTCATTAGTCAGCATCTCAAGTGGAACCTGAATCCCATCCTATTGATATTTATGTAATGATTGTGCGTGCGTGCATGCATGTGTGTGTAAGTAATAAAGCTGTTAGCCATCTGGCAAACAATAAAGTGACTCTCCTAACACAAACATCCTATCACTTTTCAACATTTAATATCCGTGCACAGTCCCATAGATTATCTCTACCCTTCAAAGTCTAGTAAAAACGAATAATGTGATCAGATCTACCATTCAAGAGAAAATTTAATATTTATCCTTTTTTTTTTTACTATTAGAACATGACAGTGACAAGTCATTTCTCAGAGGAAGCTGACCCTGTGGAATACAAGTAGCGGTCTCTATCCCAGTAAGCCCACTGGAGATTTTTAAAACATCAGATGTCAGAATGCACTGAGTACAGGTCACCTACCAAAGCGCCTGCCCCAGCTTAGCAATGGAGTGTCCTGGAGAGCCTGTCCATGAATCGTGGTCCTCGAGTGAAAGCAATGTGGAGGCCAGTGACCCCGCCAAACATTGTGAAAAAGAATCCCACCTCATATTACCAGTCCAAGGAAAGACCAGAGATCCCAAAAATCAGCCCCTGGTCTCTGCTATAGCTTATGTAGGTTTTGTACCCTTGGAAAGTTGAAAACTCCAAAAGCAAGCCATTCAGAGCCAGCGACAGTCTGTATTGATTGTTTTGGGGGTAGAGTATGCCTGTCAACCCTTTACCAGCTGCCGAACCAGCTCCCATTATTTTCTTCGGAAATTGCTGAAGTATGTAAAACCTTGAAGAGTGTGTGAAGCGATAAATGTTTAGAAAGCTCCTGACATTTTGCTGCTCACACACTATGTAATTTAATGCAAAATGACATATGAAGATATACCCCCTTGTAAGATGACGACTTATAAATTCAAAAATTCTAAAGTCTATATCTTAATCCATGAAAATCAGAGTTTAAACAGAACCCCTGGAAGAACATAATTTAAACGAGGCGTATGTGTTTATATATTTATTACACACGTGCAATGTAGACATCACTGTGGTTTTTTTTTACTTATATTATACATTTTCATCATGTTATTAACAGGATGTGGTACTGATAACAACATCCTGAAATTATTGACATTTTAAAACATCCCATTTATCATATATAATAATAACAGGCTAGCACTGAGCTACTTTCATGTGTTATACTGAAGGAGTCATTTATTAATTAATAATATGCTCTTCATACTTATCCATTTAAGATTTATTTTATATTTACTTTTTTTTAATAAATTGCTATCTTACCTGCAAAAGTGTTTTCTTAGATTTGAATTTTTCAGAAGTTGGAATTTTTGCTCATTTTACTTCATTGATTTACCAGGTAATTATTGAAATGAATGTACTAAGGTATCCTTAGCTCTAAACTTAACCCCAAACCATGTCAGACAGTTCATATCTCTTATTACTCCAGCTCCAGAGGGTCCAGTGTCCTCTTTCGGGGTCTAGAGATAACCCATACATGTGCAGACACACGAATACACACACATACATATAATTTGAAAACAGAGGCCTTTAAAACAAAGACATCAACACAGTCTGGATAGCCTTCTCCCAGTTTCCACCATCTTGAATGATAAGGTGGATTTTTTAGTGAGTTGGCAGCTTTGTAGTTAAAGGCGATGTTTACTGAAAGGTACATGGTCTGGTTAGGCAGCACCAAATGCTTTCATGATCTGGAATCTAGAGTACAGAAATGAAATACTTACATGTGAGAAAACGTTCTGCTGAATGCCAACTATGCTTCATATACTCTATTGAGAATTCTTAACATCAACTAAATAAGCTAGGCATGGTTCATTTTTAAGTAAACGTAATACATAGCATCAAATTTTCAAAGATTAAACACTAGGCTAAGGCTTGAACAAAAGCCTGAGTACATCCCTTTGCCCTGGTTTATTTGTTTTTCTTACTATATTATTTGGGTATTTAACAACAGTTCTTTTTCAGGGGCAATGATCACACTACCTCTGAGCTGGTTTCTGGAAACACCTGTCTTTTTTCAGATCACTTGTAAATTCCAATGTACATAATGATCAAAATGTCAGAACAAAGTTCTCTTTTGCAATATGCTAATGTGGCCATCATTGGATGTCCTTGTGACTATGCAGCCTTCCTGAGAAAATTGTTTCTAAACCATGCTCTTAGAGTGGAGGTAAATGTCTAGTCATTGTCAATGGTTAATACGCCAGTGACGTATCTTCTAAATATTTTAGACAAATTCATAAAAATAATATATTAAAAATTAATTTATAGTGAATGTATATACTCACAATCATATAACAGTTCTCTAGTTACCTTTTCTAAATATTTTAAATAAGGAACAGTGATAAACACAAATATTTAATAAATGTGTATTTATAAATGCCTTATAAATACATAAAATTGCTATCATTCCCACTTGAGAACCTCACATGAGTTATCTGAAAGGTGCATTCAAAATCGATTCCTCACATGAGTTATCTGATAGGTGCATTCAAAATCGATTCATCTCAATTTCAAGTGTTGCACTTTTAGCCAGATGTGGTGGCGCACACCTATAACTCCAGAATGCTCAAGGACAGTACAGTCTGTGTAGTGAGTTCTAGAACAGGGCTGTGTGGCAAAAACAAAAAGAGAGAGATTAAATGTTGCCCTTCTGACTTGCACACCTCAGTCTACTCTGACCATGCCACATGCTGTCAAGTTCCTCTGTGAAACAAGTTTTTTTTTTTTTTTTTGCTTTTTGCTTTTGACCACAATCCAATGGAAAAGATCCTGGTTGTAGAGAACATGGAACAATTGTAACGGCTAAACCTTCAGATGAGCCAGGGTCAAGAAGATTTGGTGAATTCTGCTTCAGAGACTTATACAGCTTTCTTACAATGTGGAACACAGACAAACCACAGTCAATAGTGTTTCATGCTTAAGGCCTTCCTGGTACCAGTTAACTGAGTTATACTCAATCATTATTGAAGTGCTGTCATTGTGCACAGCATTTCTACGTAGATTGCATGTGTCTGAGGAATTTTGTTTATAATTCGTATTGCGCGGTTATCCCTGTTATTTCAGAAGATGGAAATTTGAACTTTACATACGAGTCTTGTTATAAACATGCTAAGCACTTGCTTTTGGAGTTTGGAACAGCAGACCTTTAAACAACTTCTATGCTTTCCCCCCCAGCAATGCATCTATTTGGCCTCAATTGGCACTTACAGCAGACTGAAAATGACACATTTGAGAATGGAAAAGTGAATTCTGACGCCATGCCAACAAACACTGTCTCGTTACCTTCTGGCGACAATGGTAAGAGAGAGAAACGCGGAGCCTGTCTTTTCTTTTTCCGTCATTCTCCATAAACTTGGTTTTAAGCATGCTTGCCTTCAGCTCATGTGGGACAGAAGAAAGGTTTGGAGGTGGGAGATGTTGTCTGCTCGTGAGTATTTTTATTCATTTATTTGAGAAGTTGAAAATCCACACCTTTATTACATTCTGAATAATATAATTGTCTGCCTTCGAGGAGGGCTGACGATTTGGCTCTTCTGCCATTCACTCTTACAGGCGTGTACTGAGTTCTGTTTTCAGTAGACAAGTAGACTACAGTTCAGAATGTCATCTCTCGTGGTACCTGGCGTGTATTAAGTTTTCTTAATTGGGCTTGTACGTGGAGTTGGGACACCATACTGATCTCATTAGAAACACTTTTAAATATAAGCCACATTTGAGGATTATAACTTACTGACCTTTACCCCGGTTCCCCTTCCTCCAAACCTTTTAGAGTTTGCACTTGGAGGTAACACAGACTTCTCAATCAGTAGTCTCTGAACAAAAATGGAATTTAAGTGGCTAGAGAATGCTGTACTTTGTTTTTCCAATATAAACCCCTCCAACTGGACCTATGCCTACATAAGCCTCTGTTGCTCATAGTTTCATGCTAGTGTGTGTGTAGGCACATGCCTTGGTACTGATCTCCTCTGACGCTTTGAAGGAAGTGCTGATAAGTTATGTCTTGGGCAACCTGTCAGACATTTCTGTCTCTATCATGTGAAGAATTATTTGCTTTAAGGGGTTTCCTTGGCTCTTCTTCCTCTGCTTCCTCCCCAGGGCATTTGCACTGCATTTTACCACCAGGATTTCCATGTCAAATGCCTCAGTTCTTTGCGAGACTAGAGCAGAGCCAGTGGCTCTTTAATTAGCAGCTTCTTATACTCTCCTTTACTGGCGGGCTGGGGCTTTGAACGTACTCTCATTCATTAGCCTTTCATCTTTTACCTAACCAGTGATACGTGGCTTTCCACATGTGGGTCCTGATGCCTTTGGGGGTCGAAATGACCCTCATCAGATATTTACATTATAATTCGTAACAGCAACCAAAGTAATTTTACAGTTGGGGGTCATCACAGCATGAGGAACTATGTTAAACGATCACAGCATTAGGAAGTTGAGAACCACTGCTCTATGACTTCAGCACCTTAAGGAGACTAAGGAATTTTATACTTTCCGTTTTTCACAGTACTAGGAAATACCCTCCCGTATGGAATTGTTTATACAAAGAACTATGATCTGGTATCTGCCATGTCACCACAGGGCCTCACTCTACAGTGGGCTAATGGCAGAGAAGAAATTTTTTTTCTAACTGAAACTGCAAGTACCACATTTCTTACAGTATAAACTTTAATTAGCATTACTGCTATGTATTTTTACACATTGGCACCATGTGTAAACAGATCAAGAAACTACACAAAAATTAAGATCTGTTTGTTTGTTTGTTTGTTTGTTGACTGAAATTGAGACTGTCTCTTAAAGTGGATGATCATGACAAAGCTAGTCAAACAGTACTTACTAATTACTGAAGGGATTATTTGCACAGACAACAGATCATAATTCTGAAGAATTCCGTGTTTTTTCGTGGACCTTTGGTTGATGGATAATATCCAAACCTGTTGTTATTAATATGAAGACACTGTAGCTAATTACTGTCACCGCACTCAAATGTGGGGTCCTGAGAAAGCTGAGGGCCAAAAAAAGATGCTCATTCCAGATTCAGTTATGGCTGCTGACATTTCTTTTCCAAGAGATATGAGCTCATATCAGCATTTCTCAGTGCACATAAGTACATGCTCAAATCTGAGTTCCTCTGCTCATTTACTTTGGTACAGTGAGCAAAGTGAATGGTTGTTCAGATTCGCAAGGAAATGCAGAATAACCCTAAAATAGACTATCTGGGATCCTGTAAGCTCCAGAGCGTTAGAAGCACGCCCTAGGAATACAGTTTCTATAAAATATAGCTCTCTGGGCGATCCCTGAAAACAGTTACTAAACCCGTTGACCATAATATCAGTGGATATGTGTTCATCAATCAAGCACACCCATGCACGTGTGTGTTATAAATAAATGACATTGTTGAATTAATGTCTGTCTTTACATTGACAAATATGCTCTGGTGCTTTCTATTGTGTTTTATTATATTTTCCCCAGTAATTATTAATTATAAAATGATTTCTTAGTTTATGGAGAACTAAAGTTTCAAATACTGCTTCCCTCGGCAGACACAGAGTTAACACCGTGCCACCGGAGTCCCAGGGCATAAGCTATACACGGTAACTCTTCCTCGCTGTAGAAAGAACTCTCTCCCAAAGTAGGTGGTAGTGGTCCACCAGAGAACTGGCCCACCCGCCTCCCAACAGAACAGATGTTTATGGAAATTTCAGATGGGGGGGGGAACAAAGACCGTGTGTTAGCTCAGACTTTGTTGACAAGGTGATCTAAACAAGTCACTTGTCTACTCTATTATTTCTCAAATGAAGCCAACAGTCCCCGTATTGTAAAGAGTAATCTCTTCTGTTTATCAAGTAGAGACTCTTGCTGTTTAGTTCTTCAGTGGTGCAGGGGGGAGACTCTGTAAGGATGGAGGAACCAGCAATCAACTTCTTCAAAAAAGACTTCTGTGGTCAATTTGCAATATCCGTGACCCGTCACCCACCACTTTAGATTTCTGAACTGTCCAGACCAGTTATCTCTTTGAAAATTCATGGACAACAACCCTTGGAAGAAGCCTTAAAATCTGGCACAAAACTTACAATAATTAACTGTGCTAAGCATAACGAGAAGATGACTTCCCGGTTTTGAAATGTAATACTCTTACTTCTGTGGTCCTATTTCGTCTGTATTTTGTAAGCATCATTCAAGAAACAGTCACTGTGCTAATGGCTCCATAATCTTCCTGCCTACCCTTGGTCTTGCACCAAAGCTTCTCAAAAGCGATTACTATCTAAACGGGAACTCCACGTTGCAGTGTTATTCTTTACTCATGATTGCTAACACTTTTTTTGGCTGAAAATTGCAGAGATGGTCTAGCAGAAATGTGGGGTCTGGCCACACTGATAGATATGGACAAAGTGAATAAAAAGGTAGGATTAAAAGTTTGGATCTGAAAGAGCTTCCTTCTAGAAACTAAAATTACTCCCTGGACTAACAGATTCATTTAGCCTAATGTACTGGAAACAATTACACAGGACTATTCTCAGATGCTAGCCCCTTAACTCACTTACTTTATAACTAGTTACTTAACCTTCTGAGCCTTGATTTCTTCATGGGTAAAAAGGAACTAAGAACCCTTAGCTCTTGGCTTACCAACTGCAGCAGCCTGGGGCCCCACTATAGTTTCCTTGCAGTCTTCTGCCCTCCGTATTTCCCAACAGTTGTTTCAGATCGTCCTCCCCCGCCCCAGACCCCACCTTGCATTCTGTTAAACAGAAAAATAGAAAATAGAGACCTCCAGAGCGCATCCTCTTGGGTTCCTATAAGCAAATCTCGATTCATACATCTGTTAGTTACTTTTCTCACTGTTGGAACAAAATAGCAAACGAAGACAACTTAAAAAGAGGAGTGTTTGTTCTGGCTCACAGTTTGACGGGGACAGTCCATCTTACTGGGAAAGGTGCGGTGTGAGGCGCCTAAGGCAACTGATGGCGTTGCGTCCTTAGTCGGGAAGCAGACAGAAACGAACGTTGGCACCTAGCATTTAATGTCGGTATTCCCACTTCAGCTAGCTCAGAGACTTGTCTGCTGGGTGATTTTAGACTCTGCTAATTTCATAGTCCATGTGCACCATCGCACTGCATGTTTGGGAACCCATCCTTTCACCATCTTCCCACCATTCAAGTTTGCTCTTGAACACTCTTGATCCTATCTTCCATCTTTAAAATCTCTCCAGTACGGGAGTGGAGAGCTGCCTCAGTGGTTAAGAGCAGGTATTGCTCTTGCATCTGTGCCAAGATCCATTCCCAGCACCCCTATCAGGCAGCTCACAACCAGTTGTAACTAGCTCCAGGCCTCTGGCCTCTGAAGGCAGCTGAACTTATGGGCACACACAGACTCACCACGCACGTATGCATAATTTAAAAGTAATAACAAAAAGAAATCCCCCTAGTATGCTGATACTTTCCAGTCATCATATGAACATTCCACTGTTTCTTATATTTCATGAAAAATAAAACCCCTTGACCTCATCCTTCTCTTTCATCTCCACCCTACCACTCTCTTCGTTCCTTACAGGCAGCTTCTGAAGCATAGCATGTAGATTTTCTGAATCCACATCTCACCTTTTATGTGAGTCTATGGCAGTCCTGTTTCTGCCATATTTCGTTTACATGGCTGTCCTCTGTCGCCACCACTCGTTGACACTCACGATTTTCAGGTATCCAACTGCTGCCAATTGTACCCGTAAATGTTCTTTCCTTTTTCTCATATTTGACATCTCTATATATATTTTTTTAAAAATCTTACCTGAAGTATTCATTTCCACGGCATGGATAGTACCACACTGGCCAGGTCTTTATTCCGTTTTTAGTAGCTACAACTATTTGTTGATCTGGCTCACTGCCTTTCACCTGCTCACCAAACACCGCAATTTCTCAGGACCCTGCTCTGTCATGGTATAACTACACTTGATCTTGTCTGTACATCTTTAGTTACATGTAACTCTGACTCCATCAGTAAGTGCATCCTAGGTTGCATTCCTTAGCTCCAGACAGGAACTACAAAAAAAAACAATCAGCGCTTCTCTGGAGCATTTCCACCTGAGCATCTTCTTAGCTTAGCAAATTCCAAGCGTTAAAAATCTGAGCGCATCAACTGCTTAGGTTTTCTAGTACTGCATAAGAAGCCATACCAAAGTTCACTAGTTTACAGAAACCGTTTTTCATCTCTTGCAATTCTGCCAGTTGTCTAGGCAGTTCATATATTTCTTGGCTGGGACTTCTCATGCAATTGCCTCCAGATGTCTGAGGCTGCCTGAAGGCTCC